TGATCCAACAGCTGCTGAATTTCACACAGGAGACCAATTACCACTGAGGTGCAGCAAAGTGATTTTGCATATCAAGATTTTAAAGAAATTTGGGGCATTGTGAGATGAAGGACATTATTGATGTGAAAAGAAAATTATCATATTTACTTCAGAATCCGTTATCCACACCTGCAAACAGTACTTAAAAACAGAGCATGCATTGCAGGTTGACGTGAAAACCTGGCCTGGTGAGAGGTAAAATTTCCTTGATTATTTCAGGGAGATGAAGGCTTCATCCTGCACTATTTAGGAGCTGTTGAGGCATAATGGCTACGTCCAGCTAATTGGATGCATTGCTATAGGCACTTGAGGAATGTGATAGACAGATGTATTCAGCTAGAGAGATATCCCTTGGTGCAGAGAGCTGAAGTCAATTAGGGAGTTAAACTGTGAAAGATTTGACCTGATGTCATTTATATCTCGAGTCATAATTAACACTTAAAGTTCAACTCTATAGCAATTTTCTTTTAATAACACTTAAAACCTACACAGAGCTGAAAGAATTGCGCAGACATGATGAAGGATGACTTGAGTGCATGCCTGGATTTCTGTGTTAGTAATTAAGCCTCAAAACACCTTTGTGAGGCCTATGGGGAGAATCATTTCTCTCCAGTTTCTCCTCTGAAGAGAAGCAGGGTTTACCCAATGGCTCCCCAAAGTCTCTGGCACCTGGAGATAAGGACAGAAGCTCTTTCAGGTGCTGAACGCTCAGCTCAGCCGAGCTCCCATCTTTTTGTCTTGCTGAATTTTTTAATTTTACCACAATCTTTAGAAATATCACGGACAAATTACTTTTCAAATGGCCTGGGCTTTCCAATTAAAATCTGTGCAAATGCAGAACCTAAAAATCTGTCACAAACACAGCTTCTGCCTCAAAGGTTTTCATATGGATGAAATATGAATCTTACCGAGGGAAGAAACTCTGAGAGTGAGACCTTGTAAGATGGGATTCAGCTCGCTGCAGATTCTTATGGTCAAGTTATAACTGCCCATAAAGAGGGGGAAAAATGGAATTGCTGACAAAACTTTTAAACTACAGCAGTGGAAATGGCGCCGCAATAATTTATAATCTACAGGCAGCTTTGGATTTATTATCACAATGACAAATGCACTGTCATTGTTAATAGGATATTTCCCAGCAAGGACTTCTTGTTATGCAAGCCAGGTTCACTATGTCATGCAGCATGATAGCAATAAAGTCTACAAGAATTTGTAATGAACTTCAATTACTAATAGATTATGGTTAATGGGAAATATGTGCAGTAAAGATATGGGTTTTTATATGCACCTTCTGGTACTCTACAAGGCAATGATTTATGCTACAATTTCTGTTAACATTCTCCAGTATGAAAAAAAAAAAGCCTAAATTGGTGGAAAGCCACTCCATCCATAACAAATATTTAAGATAATTTTGCACATCATGTAAATGAAGATGTAAAATTAGATATTAATCCGTTTCATTTTAGCATTTGTATTTTTATTAAAAATGAAGACTTTGCCCTACTGTGTAATGACATTAAAAACCCTATCATGGGCTGCAAGCATGAATTACCCCAGTGCAGGAGTGGTGACAGCAGCCGAGCCGTGAGCGCATTTGTTCAATTTGCTGTAGTAATTAACGGAGCAGTGAGAATATTTTTCTGTATATGATTTAAAGTAACAGCCCTGGAGCTGCCTGGGCAGATGTGTTTGGTGTGGAGGGACACGTGGATGAAGCCTGGGCCCTTTGGAGGGGCTCAGCCTTTTCCTCCCCCATTGGGGCTCCCCCCAGCCTTTCAGGTATGGCTCAAAGCCATGGACATTGGGCTATTCCCTCCCCTGCACAGCAAATCTCCCATGGGAATTCCTTTGGGAAATAATCAGCTGCCACAGCAGCTCTGTGCCACAGAGCCACAGGCTCTCCTTTACTTATCAGAGGGACCCAGGCCCAGGTGTTTGCCTGTTGTTTCAAAAGACTCCCTCCTCTTTCTTCTCCTCCCTCCCTCCTTCCAGCTTTTTTGCTGCTGTACCTGCGTTAAAATCTGCATATTCTGGGTTTATGTGCTCATGAAATGAAAAGGAAAATCTCCCAATTTAAAAACGAGTACTGCTCATGTTTGTCTTCGAGAAAAACATGGAGATGCAATATCAAGGATTGCATTTACCCAGGGTCACATTTCATATCTAAAAGATATATTTAGCCAGAAAGAGACACCAATGCACGAAGTGCTTTCAGGATCATTTCTGGTATATTTTTAATACAGGTATCCTGAAGCCAAACTTGATCCCATCAGTATTGTGCTGGGTTGATACCATTGCTCTCAATGAACCTCTGTACAAAGCCTATAAATTAGTTTTTTTAGGGATGCAAGCCAGGAAAAAAATATGGAATTGGGGTTTGACCTTTTTACAAGGTTTTTAGTGAGAGCATAAAGGGAATGGCTTCAAACTGACAGAGGGCAGGTTTAGGTTAGAGATTTGGAAGAAATTCCTAAGGGTGATGAGGCCCTGGCACTGACTGCTGTGCAAATGCCAGGCCATGGACAAACTGTACTTCCCACCCCTGCTGTGGAATAGCAGTGTCTCACTGTACAATTTAGGGTGATTCTCACATGAAAATGTGGTTCTCCACTCTATTAGGAAGTTGTTTGACAGATTTACAAAATGTACTTCGGTTTTTATGGTAAAATGAGCATAAAATTGTGCTTCCCCACACTCATTTCCTTCTAAATAATACTTAAAGTACTTGCTTCTTGAAAATGTGTGAATGTGTTATAAATTTAAAATTAAAAGTAATTTACCCCTTAAGGGTGCTCTGCTGATTCAGTTTTCCCCCAGTCCCTTAACACCAGCTCTTGCAAGATACAAAATGGAGTTTAATGCATTTTCCCCCCTCCCAGTTTTTAATGAAATTCTCCTCAGAAGTAAAACAAGGGAAGAAGCTCTCTGTGCATTCACACTGAATATTTGATTATGTGTGTGTGTGTGTGTGTGTGTGTGTGTGTGTGTGTGTGTGGTCAAATCCTCCTCTGTTCTCTCCAGATCAGTTCTGCTGCTTCTCATCTTTCCAGTTCTCTCCTACATTTTCAGACCAAGCCTCCTCCAAAACTGCTAAAACCACTTTTTTTTTTTGTTGTTGTTGTTGTTTGTTTTTAGGGGTTTTTTTTTTTTTTTTTTTTTCAAGTCTGATTAACAATAAAACAGCAGGATCTTCAAGGGCATCTTAATGCTGAGTTTTGTTGCTGTATTAGTGGTTTTTTTGTTTTGTTCTGGCATTTCTGTGGCTCCCTGAGATATCTCACCCCTGACAGGGTTGATGTGGCAATATTCAGCAGTCACCTGCTTTGCAAGCACCATCTAGAAAAGGTCACTGACAGCCCAAAAGAGCCACGAAAATAAATGTAACTTTAATTTGTTTGCCATTAGAAATGTGTGCAGCAATCTGTTCTAATGGGTGATTTTCTTCATTCCTGCTTTGGAATGTGACCACAGCAGCTCACAGATATACTGAGGTCTTCTAATGCAGGAGCCTGTGTACAGAACTGGGTAAAGTGGTAATAGATTTTGTTCTGTCCAACAGAGGAATATCATGGAAACATTCTAAAATCCACAAGAATTAACATTTGAGCACCAAGAGAAATTTGTGTTCCAAATAACTTGCCCCAAAATAAATATAAACAGCTATTATACCAAATATAATCTCTTGAAACCACTTCAAATGATTAATAATCTATATTGTATCAGAAATGTGTGTGCAAAAAAAAAAACATAATTCCTTGCAGCTAAAGTATTACCTAAAGCAAACCATTTCAACACTGAATCAAATTATTTCAATGGCAGAAATCACACCTGTCTCAGGGGATAAATCGAGTATTCAGGCTGTTAAATCCATTCAAGCGACTCTATTGTATCCCACCATGTATTGTGCCTTGTAGAGAGAAAACAGTTCTGAAAACTATAAAATCATTTAGCAAAACAAATGCATCAACCACAACAGCCTCACATGGAGAAGAGGCTGAGGAGGTGAAACCCCTTCTTGCTGAATCCCTTGTATAGTGAATAGATGTATCTGACACAATGCCAGTGAAAATGAAAAAAAAAAAAAAAATGCTGCTGGAACCAGTCATTTTGGTATCAAAGTTTATTTTTACATTTTCCTTATTACAAAGCTCACAGGCCAGGGGAAGACTGGGACCAGAAGCATCGTGTGGTTAATTAAAAACACAAAAAAAAGCTCTATGTGACTGCAGCAGCTGATTCCTAACAAAGACTTTGCATTGGAGCTCACCACTGCAATCCACCTCCCCAGGACATTTCTTCCCAACCCTGTGCCTCAAACACCTTCCCTTGCTTCCCTCCTGTAGTGCCACTGTGGACCTGGCACACAATTTGTTCTGCAGCTACATCATAAAGTAAAAATACAGGAAGGGGAAGCAGTGCCATTAAACAGAGATGCCTGCAGAGGCAGGAGCATGTAGGTGTGAGGCCACCTTCACAGCAGCTGCAGGTATGAGATCCTCAAGTCACAAGCTCAAGAAATGCCATCAAAGATCCACCCAATGCTTGGTCACTCCAAGACTGCACTCCTGCCAGCTGCACCAAGAAATTGCAATTTGCTTGTTTAGTCTGTAGAGAGTTTTTAAATGAAGGTGGTGGAACCACAGGTAGTTCTGGATTATTCCTTAGGAAATGGTTAGGTTTCTGCAGTGCCTGAGTGCCTGAGAGTTACAGCTGATTACACAACATCTGTATGATAAAGCACAATTTACTGCCTAGTGAGTTAAACATTCGTAGATTAGTGTGGAATTAATCAAGTATTAAAGCTCACTTATAAAAACAGATGTTAATACTGATTTCTTAACAAGCTCCAAAAATTATTATCAGTGCTAAAGTAAATTAAGCCATTTATAAAAGATGAAAAAATGCATTTCAGCTGTTAATAGTTTGTATCTCTTTGCTTTGGTTAAGAAGAAGAGGTTAACTCATGGCTCAATCACTATTACACCCAGGTTGTTATTGAAAAACACTTTCCCATCTCTGATTTCACTGCACCCAGGCTTTCTTAGCTCCTCCATCACCTGATGCTTTAGTTCAGCAGGGGCAATTTCAGCGAATTCAAGTGTTTCTGTTGGGAAATCCAGCAAGAGCTCCCCATCTTTGTCCCCTTCCGTAAAGCAGCTGGTTATGTCCATGTGGGATGGGAGCTCGTAGAGCTGGGACTTCACCCCAGCTGAATCCAGCATCCTTGGCAAATCAGCAGAGGAAACATAAGAGCAAAGACATTCCAAAGGGAAGGAAGATCCATACTTCTTCCACAGTGTTTCCCAGCCACTCTTTCCTAAGAGATAAACCATCAGAAAAACACTCAGAGTTAAGGAAGAACACAATTTGAAAGCAGTTTGGATTGTCTGGGTTTTTTAAGCAGTTGCCATCATTGCAAGTGGGATCTTTCCAGAGCTGGGATGTGTCCTGGGGCAGGGTGGAGCTGGCTGCCTCCCTGCAGGTTTGGGGGCTGCAGGAGTGGGTGGGCACCTACCCTGGAGCTCCAGCACCTCTCCTCGAGCCCCCAGCTGAGGCCAGAGCAGCTCACACTTGTGTACCTCTTCTCAAGTGACATTTTATAAAGCAAACCAGCTGGGTAAGCTGAAAAGTCCCCACATACATCTTCACATCTTTCTTTTCCGCCAGCCTGGATCTCTGCTTTGGTATTTCTACTGTAAATAATTTTTAGAAGGATTACTCAGTGTGAAAAATGCATATTTTATGATTGGCTTTTCACAAATATTACAATGAATATTATATGTATAATGTTAGAAAGTTATACTGTATTAATTCCCTTAAGTAGTGTTTTAAATATAGTTTTAGGTTCCAACATAATGTTAAAATAGAGATTATGTATGTGGGGGGAGTTTTTTTTCAGAATGAGATACTCCCTTTGAAGAACACCTAAATCTTCCAAAGGAGAGGAATTTGTGGCTTCTTATCAGAAGAAACTAATTTCTTCAGGCCTTGCTCAGACTCGAAGAAGCCAGGGGATTAAAGGAAACAGTTGACATACAACAGAGTTTCTTGTTTTAAATAGAATGTATGCATAACCATGAAGGATATATGAATATGCAACAAGTGTATTGGTTTAAGGGTGATTCCTTTGTTCACAAGTCATGGTTTTCATGACTTAGTGTCCAAGAGCATCCTGACGTCCATAATTCTTTGCTTTTTATTGTCTTGTAACTGTCCTAACTCTAAACTTTATTACTCTAATTTTATTATTTTTATAACCATTTAATTTTATTAAACTTTTAAAATTTTAAAAACCAAGTGCTTGGCGTTTTTCACACTCAGAATGACTGGACAGGATGAAAATAATTTTGAGCCTAATGAGCATCTCTCGAAAATTCTGTGTGCTGTATACAACAATAATTCTCCCTAGGTAGTAAAACCTGTTACTCGTGGTTTTGCAGTTGCTTTATCTGCAAACAGTTATTTATAATCAAATCAACAGTTTGGTGTTTAGAAGAGAGGCGACAATATTTTCTTTCGCCTGGTGGAAATGGAATGCAGAGCACTAATTGCAGGAAATGTGCCGGTGTCAGTGCTGTGTGACTCGGTGCAATTATCCCCTACCTGAATGCAAGGCTCAGCATTTGGCTCTGCTTTTGTCTGCGAGGTGTGGCAGCAGCTCCTCAGCCCCTGCACATTCTTTCCTGTATTCACATTCTATGAATATCCAAAGGGACATGTTAAGCAACTAGAAAAGAGTTTCAATTAACTATATGCAGGTAATCAGCAATAGTCTGATACTACTATCTAGTCTCATTCAGCCAAAGAACATGAATAGGCTTTTAAAAATAATTTCAAATACAGATTTCTTGCTGTAAACTGAAAACACTTCAAACCAAAAACGTTTTGGGGAAAAAAGTAGTTGAATAAATTCAGGTCAGAAGTGTCACTTCAGAGTGGATCCTTCATGAACAAAATAAAAGGAACTTCATCACATTTGCAGAGGTGGCCAAATTCAATGAGAAATTAAGCTTAAACCTCTGAATAAATTATGCTTAACATAGCTTTCAGAGCTGCTAGATGTGACTGTTTACACAGCTGAAATTTCCACAGCTTTTGAGGCAAATTAAAGGATTTTTAGAGTCAAATTAGGCTCCACCACTGCACTGTCCTGGCATACCTTGCCCACAGTATTAAAAGGTTGTCATTTACTCTGCTCTGACATTTTCCTGCTGGATTGACCTCAGAGCATCTCTGTGAGATCCGAAACAGCCTGAGAATGCTGTTTTGTACCCAAAATGATGATATTAAGGAAATGGGCAGTTTGAAAAGAAAATGAACCATATGTGCTCCAACACCTGCTGTATGGCACTTCCGAGCCCCCCGCAGCCATTTGCTTAATGCCACAAGTCTCTGGGAGAGAGAAAATGCAGTGCCCATCCTGGAGAGCCTTTTCCAGCACACAGCAGAGGTTGAAGGGGCTCCTGTGAGTGAGAGCTGCAGGTGGAGCCTCTCCTGCTGCAGGGCCTCCATCCCTGGACAGGCTGTGGATGGGGAAGGGCAGTGAAAGCTGCTTTGTGCTGTTTTGTGTAGTAAATATAATTTGTGCCATTCCCTGTATGAAATATGTAATGTTGGATACTTGTTAGATTATGCCCGTTTGTGTTAGTTCCTCCCCCCTTTGCAGGCGAGACTGGGTGTATATTGAAAACTGATTTACAAGTAAAAGGATGTGGCTCGGCCAGGAGATGGGCCATGGCTGGGCTCCTGGTGTTGACCATCGGGTGCTGATCATCGCATGAACGGCCCAAGATGGATCTCATGGAAATCCTCAGACAGATCCATGTGAATGCAGCCTTCCTGTAAACTCTCATCAGGGATTCACCAAAAAAAGAAAATCTTATTAACCTATGGACTCTAAATAGGAGAAAATACGGATTGCTGAAATCTTGGCCGCAGGCAGAATTTTCCCTATAAATACCGCCTGTGCCAGGATGGACGTGTGTGGGCATAGGGGAAAACCTCTGCTGAGGCTGACTCCTTGTTGCACACCCAGGGTCGATTCCCGGGCTCGGCTCTGTCTTTTTCCATGGCTGGCTAGATAGAATTTGACTGCTAATAAAATTACTTTTTTTTTTATTTTTAATCTGGCTGAATAAATTCTCATTTATAGCAGTGCCCACGGTACGGGGTTTTGGCTCATAAATCCTCAATCCTTACGACCCACACAGACACGGACAGTGGTCAGGTTTCAGGGGATGTCTGCTCACCTCTGTGGCCTTTGCTACACACAGGAACCCCAAAGGTCCTCGGAGCCCTTTCCTGACTGAGCAGTGCTGCTGGAGCAGCTCTCACCTGACACCAGGATCATGAGGAGCTTCGCCTGCGGTTCCAGGAGGCTGTGGAAGTACTGGATAGTTGCTGGGATATCTTTCACATAGTAGAGCATCTGGAAAAAGCAGAGATGATTAGAGACACACAGTGCCATGCTGGTGACTATTGTAACGCTGTTAAAAAGAACCAAACGTGGGCATTCCTGACAGAAAAGCAGGACAGTGAGGCACATGAGGAAGGGGTGGGCAGTGGGCTCCCACTGCAGGCTCTGGGCTCTCATGCCCTGCCTGCTCTCTGGCACTGCCAGGTCTGAGTTCACGTTATTCAGCAGCCTGAGATAAAGGTATTTGCCTTTCTTCAGTGAAGGTTTCAGTGAACTTGGAGATAGAAAGGCAATTTCATGGAGAGGACAAGGAGCTTTTGAAGACACTAGCTAAAATATATTCTTAGTTGACTGCCACCCACAGCCTGGTTAATAGGACTACTGTGCTCAAAGCTGCTTTTCATTTTTGCAGTTCATTTATGCTAAAGCACTTCAAATTACTGGGAAGTAAACTCACCTTTCTTCCCCTAAGAGTGGATAATGAGGTCACATACTTCGTGCATATTCTTAACAACTGAGTCTTTGGCAGCATTTACTTTGCAGAGACTCTTACCTAGATCATGTGAATGAAGTCCCATTTTTTAGTTTTCTTTTCTGCATTCATTCGACTTTCATATTCATTAGCTGTCTCCTTGTGCCAGGTAAACTTTATGTTCTCCAGGTTTGATGCCTGAGCCACACGCTCTGAAATAGAGGAGAAGGCAGGAGAGAGTTATCTCAATTGCAAATATGGGGCTGATTTCCACTCAGAGCTTTAATACATCCAAAAGCCCTATTTAGGTTGAGAGTTTTGGTACCAGTTTAACACAACAGTGGAATATCTTAAACCTTGAGCCCATATGTGAGGAGAAGACTGTAGAAGCTTTATAGGGTAAAATCTTAAAAGAGTCTGTTGCTTTTCCCTTTTCTGCCTCATTTGAGCTCCTCTGGTTTTACCTGAGATAAAAAAAAAAAAAAAAAAAAAAAAGTAATTTCTTCCCCATGACTGGCTCAAGCTGAATTAAAAGATGTTAAAAGATGTTGGCTGGGACAGATTGTTATGAGGCCATGAGCAGCACATTTCATGGGGAATAGGAGGACTGATGGCTCCAGCACTTACGTGCCACAGAAAACCCACATGGCTGAGCAGGTCAGGCCACGGTGGAGGAATTTCCCAAATAAAAACAGGTGCTCAAGGGTGGATCAAAGCAGGGGTTTCTTGAGAAGCACAATTTAAAGACTGAGAAGGGCAGAAAAAGCAAATGTATTCTAAATTTGTGTAACTAGGATGGTAGGAGAGGAAGGAGCTTTGTTCCAAGAGCAAGGACCCGTCTCTTGACATTCAGTGGCTTCTGTGTTGAAACAATTTTTCAGAAGTCCTCAGTTTTGACCAACTGCTTCAGGCAAAAGGGGTGACAGTGTTTGAAAGCAAAGAGCTTTAAGGAGTGACACATGGAGTGTCTTCAGACCTCAATTCAATGCACATCAGCAACTGAGGGAAACAGAAATCTGGAGAAGTGGATTCAAAGAACAAGTTACACTGAGGGCCTGGCTCATTGCTGCATCCCCTCTGGTTTTATGGGAGCAAAATGGAGAGATAATTTCATAATGTAGGGAATACTAATGTCCATCTGCTGGCATATGGAGCTCATCTCCCTGCCTGGCACTCAGGATTGCTCCAGGACAAAGCAGGCTCTGGGTCAGCTCCTGTGCTTCACTGGAGTTAGCATCAATTTAAAACTCAAAAGGCAGGCTGAGCCTCAGCTACAGAGCACAGTTGCTGAAACCAGTGCCTTTACACCACTGACAACAATGTTCCTCCTTCTGGGCTCTGATTTGGACATGTCCCCATCAGGCAGATGAGAAATGCTCCTTCAGGGCTTATCTCCTCTCTTGTGTGGCTGGAAAAGGGCCACCCCTTTCAGTGAGCTCCCATTTATCAGCCACTGGCCCCAGCGCTGGCAGCTCAGATTTAATTTGCTGTTCTACACTCAGAAGCAGCTCTTATCCCCCTCACCAATAATCTGGGGCAATCTGGTTCAGTTTAATTGTTGGTCTGTCTGCAAGGAGGAGCTGTGAAGAAAACTGAATTGTTTTCCAGGCTGGGCCTTCAAAGTCCAGATTCTTGGAAGTGCAAATTCATTATGGGATTAGGGTAAATTTCTGCCTAAATATTCATCTCAATCCATTATGAAAAATTTTCCTGCCTTTTCCCTGGGTTCATCACATATTCTTTTCCCATTCAGAAGCTGGCTGTGTACCTGATGGGTGCCATCAAAGCTGGGCTGCCTGCAGCTGTGCTGGTGGTGCAGCTGGTTTGTGGGGCCACCAAGACCCCAACCATGGCCACCAAGGGATCCACCAGGAGTGCAGGAAAGGCACAGCCTGCCCATGAGGCTTTGAGGAAAGCCTCCATCACATGCCACAGCCCAAGAGAAACCCGGGTTTGTCATCACTGCACATCCCAGTAAGGAGTTTCTCTCATGAGCTTGGCTTCTCTTTTCCCATGGAGAAAGCATTTGGTGAGGCAAAGACATAACTGCTGAATCCTCAGAGGTGCAGGTAATGCTTTTAATTCTCTACTGAAAATCTTAGGCCTCAGAAACCTAATTAATGGTAGCTACTGGGGACATGATTAATTGCCAAATAAGAAAGTTTAAAGAAAAAAATTCAGATTAATATTTAATTTCTAGTTTAGCATAAAACTTAAAATAAGGACAACATTTTATATTTTCTTTTACTTTCTTCTGGAAAGAAACTCACTGCAGTAGGATTGGACTGTCAGTTAATTGGTGGCAGATGGTGGCACCACTGGAAAGATTCAGAGCAAATCCAGTCCAGTGTAGCCCAGACAGGACAGAAATTCTTTGTTCAAGTGCACAAACTGTCTTACAAACAGAGAAGATGCTCTGGTGCCCACCCTTCACCATTTCAGTCTGCAGCAACATAAGAGCACCAGGGATTTTGCACAAGGCATCTTTTAAAACATCAGGTCTGTGTTAAATTGAGAAAGATCCAAAAAAAATTAGGTTTGTCCGGGGAGTCTTTGGTGCTTCCAGTGATTCTGAGCTACCTCACTGGTTTTTGGTTTTTTTTTTTCTCCTTTGACTTCCACAAGCTGATTCACACTGGGAATGTTTCATTTTTAAGGACTTCAGCAAGAGCAAGATTGGAGATTTACAGTGTGGCTTTACAGCCTGGTATTGACTATGGTTTGGAGCCTTTCCAGCAAGAGACTCAGCTGATGAGGTTCATTCCTCGCTGTCACATCCATTCAGGATGGCTCTCCAGCCAGGTGTGCTCTGCTCAGGGCTGGGGTCACCTCCCTCAACACCAGAATCACCTGGAGTTAATCCTGGGAGGCTCTAATCCAGTGATAACCAAACCCTGCTGTTGGGCAATTTGATCAAAGTACCCTGGTTAACACTCAGTCCTCCTCAGAAAATGTTCCATTTTCCTTCATGGATGCTGCTTAGACCTTTGGGCCGGGGGAAGGAAAGAAGCTCTGAGCCCCAGAGCACACGGCAAAAATCTTTCCTATCACTCCTGCTTTCCTTTCCCTGTTTTCTAATTCAAAGCCTGGTTACTAATTTAGTGCCCCACTGTGAGGTTTAGGTATTTGTTGGAAACGATTTTTAAGATGTGAGAGAATTACCATGAGACACTAAGATTTTCCCTTTGATGCTGAGGAAGGATCCTAATTCAACACAAGTTGAAGTGCAAAAACTTTCTGAAATGCTGGGATTTCACTCCATTCCCATACAATCACCCTCACTTCCCAGCTTGTTTAGCTTTTAAAGTCTGCCTAGGCAAGTATTTGCCATGCAGAGTTCTTTGCAGTGTGAGAGACTAAGATTTTAATGAGAGTGATCATCGTTGAGAAGCAATGATGGCAAAAAAGCATGAAACTAAATTTTTTAACTTTAAAGAAACAGTTCTGATAAGAAGTCATTTGGACACAGGGCCATCTACCTTTCAACACTTTTTAATGCATGTAAAATAACTAATGTAAATGTAATTTATTTAATGTAAAAATACCTTTGTACTTTGAGATTTGGTCAGCACTTGGCTCTATCACGTCATTGTTGATGGTGACCCCGGGATATCTGGCTCGTACTTTTGAGAAGATCTGCAAGTCCATCTCACCTAAAGAAGCAAAACAAAACGGAGAATGAAAACAAAGCTCAGGCAAAGGACACAAAACAGAGAATGAAAACAAAGCTCAGGCAAAGGAAATCTCCACCACCATCACACTCCCAGCTTGGCAGATTGATTTCTGCCATTTATGTAGAGATGCACCATACAAGTCCAAGCTGCTTTGTATTCTCAGTAGGTTGTAACTGAAGGCTGAGCTCTAGGATTTGAGAAAAATGTAAATATCAGTCCCACTTTCTTAATTTCTCCCCTCTGACTGGCACCACCAGGGCCAAGGGAAAACCTGACACGGTTATGCTTGACCTCTCTTTTTCTGGACATGGTCTAACCTCGAGGGGGACATCCTACACGACTCTCATGGTGCCAGTTCTGATGGTTCCAAGTCACCAGCAAACTTGGCAGCACTTCTCAGGATTCAGTAGGAGCATTTTTAGCCAGGCACCTCACTGTTTACAAGGTCATATGGGGGAGGGAAAGGGAATATATGTTTACACTGGAATCAGAGACAATACTCATATCTGTTTGTCTTTATTGTCCTGTGACTTTTCCCAAAAGAATGATGAATAGAGAACATACCATTTGTGTTTAGCTAACCTTTGTTTACAGAATACCCCAGAGATTCCTGTATTGCATGTTTTTGTTGAGGAATAAATCTATCTAAACACTGCTCAGGCCAGCTGTAATTATTTTATTGATGTATGTACTGGTAGATCCAAGATTTCAAAATTTAAAAATAGCTCCATAATTCTCAGCCATCTCACCCCATCTGTAGTGGAGGAAACTCAGGGGGATGATATTTTTGACTGAGGCATGGGTCCAGGGACAATATCCTGCTGACTTGCTCAACTTTCTCCAACCTCTGCTTATTGTGCTTGGATAGATTTTAGGTGGAAAAAATAACAGCAGAATAAATGAGGGTAAGAAAGAGTGAAACAGAGAGTAACTACAGTGACTGATAGATTCAGGGGTCGTGTTACAAGTAAATATTGAGCTTTGTCCTGGAAGATTTCCTCGTGCTCACACAGAACTCCATGTTATAAAATTCCCTACAAATGAACAAACTTTTGCACTGAATGGAAGACCACCCTGATGGCCAGACAGGCCCTTGCTGAGTGGCTGTGGAAGGAGGAACTGCACAGCCTCTGCCCACCCTCATCATTTTGAGAGCCCTGGACTCCCACCACTTCAGCATTGGCTCCATCGTGCAGAATATTGGAGGAACAAAAGGAAAACACTGGGCACCAAATTGCTCATTAGTGCCCAGAGGACACAATATACAAAATGAGCAAGAGTTGCACTTTCTCAGACTTACATGTCTTTCTTAGAGCAACCAGCAATACCAACATTCCCATGCCATCTCTGGAAGCACGTTCTTTGAGGGAGGGAAATCTAATTTCTGAGGCAGCAGAAAGAGCTGCAGCTTTGCTATCACTGCAAGCCCTGTACTCTGTAGTCTGCCATGGTAAAATTTGGAAGCACAGAATTTGTAATTAACTACTGCACTAGATTTTCAGTTGCTTTACCAACTTTCCATAACATGATTAGTCCTTTGAAAAGGCTGTGCAGGTCCTGATTTAAAAAACAAAATTAAAAAATTGAATTTTGTATTTTCATATACAAATAGGTTAAAATATTCCCTTTCTGCTCTTGTGTGGCCAAATCACCCTTGTACTGTTTTTAACCAAAAAACCTACCCCTTTGATTCATAATTTATTCCACAGCCTTAAATGACTTCACTTAGCTCTTTTATATGCAAACAAGTGTCCTGAGGCATTTTACACTCAGATCGGTGGCAGCTTGCATTATCAACAATTTGGCAATTAGGCTATCCAAATTATTTAAACTCTCCAACACAATTACCTTTTAAAGGCTACCACTATGTTCACCATTAAGTTTCTAATTAAACATTTTACGTAACGGGATAGTTTATAGCCCAGTTGCTACTTCCTAGCAGCGCTGATGACTTTTATGGTTTTCAAAGGTACAGAGTGCGGCGCGCTGGAGTGTGAACACAAAAAGGAGCTGTGTTCAGGAGGGTGGGATGGGATGGGATGGGATGGGATTGGATGGGATGGGATGGGATGGGATGGGATGGGATGGGCCTCCCAAGCTGCAAAAGCGGAGAGGAAACATTTTCCTTCTGTGCCTCCTCCCAGTGAAGCGCAGGGGCAGGTGGGGTCAGGGCAGCAGCTCCATCATTGCCCTCCCACAGCAGCCAGTATCAGCTGGAGGGATGTGGGGATCAGCTCCCTCCCGGCCTAACAATGGCCCATGGAGAGAACCAACCCGTGAGCAGGTGGGGCTGGATGATTTGGGGATTTTGACATCACAAAGTGATGTATTGATTGATGGCAAGCTGGACTGTCTCTGGCCAGGGAGTGAAGTACCACACTAAGTAAAGTGTTCCTGTTAAAAACATCTTCCTTTATCCTTTCCTTTCCTTTCCTTTCCTTTTCTTCTTTCTCTTTTTTCTCCCCAAAGAACAGTTTCCTTTGGAGAGCAATGTTCCTGCTCTGTCACACTGTCTGTTTTATAGCTAATGCCAGCCATTTGCATACAATTACTTTATGGAAGAGAGACTGACAAAACTAAGCTTAGTCTTTGGTGATGGTACAACTAAAGCATCTAAACTAGATTAACTGTTCATATACAATTTAAGTATGGTGACTTAATGGGCAGAGAAGGAAACATAGGTTTTAATTATGGGGACACTTCAGCAAGAATTTAATGAAAAGAAGCCACTTGATCTTACTGGTATTGTTTTTCCATTCAGTGAGTGTCAGATAAAAGACTTTATTTGTGATTTCTTCTGGATTTCCTCTGGAGCTTATGCTCAGCTCCAGTGTTTTGGGGGTCAGTAGCTCCAGGAGGAGATTGTACACTGATGGTGGTCAGCAAACAGCCAAAGCAGAGCTTAGCCATGGCTCTTACATAGCAGTGATGGGAGTTAGCACCTCAATAAAGTTACAGGGGAAATATTGTAATGCAGGTAAAATCATAATATTCTGAGAAATATAAGACATTATTTTTTGGGGGGGTTTGGATAGTTTTTTTTGCTGCTTTTTTGTTTTGCTTTGTTTTGTCTTGTTTTGTTTTTGTATAGAAACCTTATGAGCAGCTAAAGTTTCTCTCTGCCTTTGAGGAGTGATGGTGTAGGAGAGGTTTTTGTGGAGGACATAGAGGAATCAGAGTGGGGAGGCACAAGCTGTTTTCAGATAATGTGGTCACACACCAATTAACACCACCTGTCCCCTGGAGCTGACTTATCAAGGAAAGACTTATTTCCCATTCTGCTCCTTTTGCAATTTTTAGTCCTCTATTCTTTAAAAAAGAAAAAGGAAAAAACATTTCAATATTGAAGTCCATACATATCTGCTCCACCTCCAACGCTTAAAACATTGATTGCAGACTTCCAAATTCCAATACTGAAAAACATTATTTGTACATTTTAGGAGAGCTGCCCAGTAGAGAGGGCTCCATGCATGATGTGAAACACTGGAGATCCCACTAAGACTAAAATTTGCAGGGCAAAACCCAAATGTAATGTGTGTGTACACAGGCATACCTACAAGTGGGCAGGAGGGATCAGATTCAGGACTCTTCCCCTTTGGACATTCAAGATTTCCAATTATTTTGGTGATTTGTAGAGGTGGCATTTTGCTTTTATTATGAGGGAACATAAGCAGAAGCAAGTACACACCTTCTCTGTATCTGTGCTCTGAGGAACAGAGAGCCCTCTGGGTCTGGACCAGCAGCTTAAATATTATTTGTAGAAGTTCTGCATTATGCACAATGGGGAGGGCTATGGGAGAGTGTAATGCTCCTAAAATCCCTGAGTGGGGCTTTGGCAGAGCCATGAAGCCCTGAGAAGAGCCTCCCCAGAGCCAGGATTTGATGCTGGCTGCCTGCTCCCAAGCCAGCCTGCAAAGTGAGGGGTCCAGCAAAGGACACACGCTGGCAGGCAAAGCAGGAGCATGATCCAGCCATCCTAGAGAAACCCTAAATATTACCTTGTCACCCTGATTATTAAGATTTTCTAAAGCCTTCTGAGTTTACATTCTGTTGGAGAACTTTCCCACACAATTTCTGTAAACAACATATTGTTTACATTCTTTTATGGGGGTGGAGAAACTTGATGTACTGGTGGTTTGTCCAATGTCTTTGGAGAGGTGGCCCATTCACTCTCCAATCCAATGTCACCTTTGGGAAAGTATAAAGGTCGGAGTCAGAGAATAAACCTTCTTCTTTACCTTGCAAATAGCAGGTGGCTCACGTCGTGCTTTCACGTGTCCTATAGCGATATTACCTGAACACTCACTTTTAAAAAGCTGCCTTCCATCAAGTTTGATGCTAGAATGCAGCATCTGTTACAGCATTTCAGAGCTGACTCAGGGCCAGCTGTGTTCGTGTGCGAGGAAACAATGCAGCCTTATCTCCTCCTGGCTAGGATCCTCCATCCCGGAGAGCCACCACGCAATGTGTGCAATTCTCCAGCCAAGCCCTTTCAGAAGCCAGCAGACAGGGCAGGGAACAGCAATGTGCCTCTCCAGGCAGCCCCCCGAGGCCAGCACCCCCGAGGGACTGTGGCTGTCCCCAGCCCAGGGTGGCACCTCGCTGTTACCTGGCGATCATGCCCGGCAGCCGCCTCTCCACGAACTCCTGCGTGCTCTGGTGCTCCGTGGACCTCTCCAGGAAGAGGTGGAATGCCTGGATGTATCTGTCAAGGTCAGCCAGCAAACTCCTCATGGGTGAAGCCATGCTGGGAGGGTGCAGGAGGGGACAGGCTGCTCCCTGCAGCTCTTCTCTCAGGCCTAGAGAAGAATTGAAAAGTGCTGGAGGGGAAAATCCAGCCTGCAGCCAGGCTTTACTCCATGTCCCTGCTGCTGCTTCAGTGTTACACGAGCCTGCGAGAGAAGCTGTAAATGGAGTCCAAGCAACAAAGGGTAATTTATCATCTTTAATCTGTGCAGAGCAAGTGCCAGCATTTTTTAACTGTGCTGACACAGTTTTCTGTTTAAACACAGTATAAGGATCTTCAGATGCCTCTTAAATACAAAAAAAACCCCAAAATCCTCTGTTTTGTGAAGGCATAGAGAGGCTCCAAAGGCTGGGTCTGGATTAGAAGAAAGTGCAACACTCATCTCCAGAGACTCTGGCAGATGTCTCTATCTGTTTTTTTTAATCTTTTGATGTCCTTAAATGGAATGCCGATGGTGGGGTGAAAACAATAAAAACCTTATAAATGCACTTTATTTTTCTAGTTCCTCTGAAGATAATGGTACAATTCCCATGGGTTAAGTAGCTAATTCACCAAAGCCACGTGAGTTACTGGAATACATATTGTGCTAAACCAGGCTTACAGGCAATCAGGAGTGGGGAAGGCAAAGCGTGTTAGCAGGGAAGTGTCAGACTGTACCTTAAAAAGTGCACAAAGATGTCTTTAACCTCTCTTAAACTGCAGTTTTAGTTCATCACATCTTGTCCTGCCTGGCAAGGAGGAAGGGGAACCCCCTCCCTCCTCAGGAGCCCCATGCTGAAGGACACACTGCATTTCCTCGGTGTCTCTTACTGACCCCTCTGACATCCCAGGCACCTCTTGTTATTTTTACAGTTCCCTTTGGACTGTCTCCAGCCAAACCCCATTGGTGCTGAAGTGCAGCACAAAGTCCTCCTAGCCATTGCTTTTCCTGGCTCCCAGTGCAGCTGGGATGATTTCCCTGGCTCCAGTGAGACCCTGCACCCGCTGCCTTCACTCACCAGCATGACTGGAATTCAGATCGTGGGCTGTTCCCAGACTGCTTCTCTGCTCCCTTTGGATTATCAATCTGGCCTCTGTTGTGTCCAAATCCCTCCCAGCTGCACATCAAATAACACAAATAATTCTCAAACCATAAACAGAAACAAAAGCAACAGGCTCAGGTCCATATTTGCCATTGCCTCCCTTTCTGGCAGTGAACTTCTGACAAATTTTCTGACTGTGCAACCAGTTTTCCACCCACCCAATACCTGTCTCATCAAGACCACGTCTTCTTTGCTTGTTTATGAGAATGTCATACACAATAGTGCCATCTCCTTCTCCCCTAACACCCACAGAAAGATGGGCTCGAAACAATTTCTTCCTGATGGATCCACATTGCCTGACCATCATCTTACTCTCTTTCTGCTGCAGGGAGGGCTGTTTGCAGGGACTATTTCTGGGGACAGCTGTCATGCTGAGCAGCTGCCCAGATCCCTCTCCTGCCCCCTTTCCAATGACAACATCAGCTGCTTGGCTTTGCCCATTTTCCTTCCCTGCCTGTGACAAAGGTAACATCCAAGTCATGACGTGTTTTGGTTTTGCAGCCCATGGACCAAATCTCCACAAATCCCAAAATCTCCTGCAGGAAGGGGCATGGTGAAGCTTGGTGACAATTCACCTCCTCAAGTGAGTGCTGCTACCAGAGCCCTTGGCAATGGCTGAGAATTCATAATCAATTAGCAATGCCTGATAATTGCTCTCCTTGTGGCAGTCCCAAAGACCAGTGGTGACCTCTGGAGCAGGTCCCAAGGTTGATTTTCCACCCATAGTGCCTCCAAGGCAGACTGGCTTTGGTACGCTCCCTGCTCCCCACCTTCTCAGAGTGCAAGGATACTTTCAAGTGAAAAAATAGCAAAACTCAGAATTTTAAAGAGCACTGATGAAAAACAAGCTGGCACAACACTGGTAACAAGTAGATGGGAGAGCTTTAAAAACTTTGTCAGCCTCTGACTGACAACCCCTGCTTGATCCAGATGAGCAGCACTCGAACAACAACATCTGAATTAACCTAGGGAATCCAAGTGGGAATTTTTCCAGAGATAGTAAGGAAGGAAAATCCTAGATATACCCTGAATGAGAATTACTCACTGCTAACCCACCCTGAAAACACAATGGTGTATTCTGTGTTTATCCATTCCTTTGCTATGCCTGACTCCTTTCTTTTTATTTTAAGTGCATCAGGAGGCTTTTCTGTTTGACAATAATATATTTTTGCTACCTTCAATATTTAAAAAATAACATTGCAGCTTATAAGAGGACATTTAGATAATTGACCCTTTTTTCTGTGCCTCCCTCTAGTTCCCATTATTTAATTTGCCTACATCCCCTGCTCATCAGTCTCTAATGAGCAGCCAAGATTCATTTTCATGTTGGGTGCAGTTCAAGGAATTTGTCTCATTTCTTTCATTACACTTTTGGGTGTTGGAATTTGCCCCATTTATTTATTTCATTCTGGGTTTTGGTTTTTGTTTTGGTTTTTTTTGTTGTTGTTTTTTGTGTTTTTTTTTTTTTTTTTTTTTTTTGTTGTTTTTGTTTGGTTGGTTGGCTTTTGTTTGTTTGTTTGTTTGTTTGTTTTCTGTTTGAATTGCAGCCAGCTAACTTTAAAAATTTGTAAAGAGAAGGAAGGGAATAATTGTTTTCTGAATTAGGCTGATAGAAACTTGTAAGGTACTAATGTTCACTCGGGCATGTTCCCTTCAGTGATAATTGAAACTTATCCGTGGCTCCCTAGAAAGATTGAGGAGTTTTGAAAGCAGACACTGTTTATGCTTGATATGTCCCTGCTTTGTGCCAGCAGAGTGAAACCTGCTTTAAAGTCACCATAAAAGCCTTTAAACCCGCCCCGTGAAGGCAGCAAACAAAGTGATGGGGCAGTTTGGGTTTACCAGCGGTCCGGGATCCCGCTCGGACTGAGCCCGCTCCATCAGCGCTGGCTCCCAGCAGCCTCCCTTACCTGGGCTGTTCTGTGCTCCTGGGGGTGTGGGGTGATGCTGCTGAGCCCCTGGGATGTGCTCCCAGCTGGCCACTTCCTAATCCAGCCATTTTTCTGTGCAGCCACCTTCCCATCCAGGCACCTCGCACCCAGCTCCATCCCGGGGCGGTGGCACGGGAGAGGTTCTGATGCTGGGGAAGGGCTGGAATCTTACACGGCAGCAGCTGCTGGGGAAGGAGCAGGCAGAGTTAGTGTCGCCCTGATTCTTAAGATTTTCTGAAGCCTTCTGAGTTTACATTCTGTTAGAAAATTTTCTCACACAATTTTCTATAAACAACATATTGTTTTGCATTCCTTCATAGGAGCAGAGAAACTTGATATACTAATAGTTTGTCCAATGTGTTTGGAGAGGTGGCCCATTGACTCTCCAATCCACTGTCACCTTTAGAAAAGTATAAAGTTGAAGACAAAGAATAAACTTTCTTCTTTACCTTACAAATAGCAGCAGCTCTGTTGTGCTTTCACGTGTTCTATAACAAGTTAGAACCTCCCACGGCAGCAGCTGCCTGGAGAGGCAGGGCCAGCTCCAGCCCTGCCATATCCGTGTCCCCTCTCCGTGTGGTCCCCTGGACACACCTGGCACAGCCCCCCAGCCACAGCCCCCCTGCCACAGGAACACCCAGCCACGGAGCTCCATCCCTGTGTGAATTACAGCAGCAGTGGCAAACGAAGCCCTGCCAGTGGAAAAGAGAAAATGCAGCTCCTGACAAATTGGAAATAATCGTCTCAGTGTGTGGCATGGGGTGATGGGCAGTATCATTTAGAGTTTGCCTATAGAACCCTTCCATTAGAGATAATTTTGCTTTTTTAGCTGGTTTTCTTGCCACCAGATATTCTTCTTATCCCTTACTTTCCAGAGCTTAAGCATTTTCCAAGTTGTGTGCACCCTCTGCAGCCCTGTCAGGAGCAGTTTTATCCCAAGGAACATAAGTTTGGATAAAACCATTGACCTGTGTCTGCTATCACATTGTGATTTGGTGTTCAGGGCACCACACATTTGCCCTGTGTGTGCTTCAAATTATTCTTTGTTTCTCCATGTTTAGCAAGAAGGAATTTTTTTAAGTTAAATGGAGAAGTTTTCCTTCTGGAGTTAGATAGAGAAATGAACTGTTTAAGGAGAAATGAGCTGTTCACATGATAAAAGTCACATAAAATAATACCAGTAATATTAATAACGATGCTTTCAAAGGCACAGTTACAGTGAGAATGGCTGCAGTTTGACATTTAGCTGAGAGTTTACTCAAATGAAGATTTCATATCAACAGTTAAAATTGTTCAGCCAGAACGACGACTGTGTGTGAAGGCAACACCCACTGCAATTTTTTCTCACTCTGTTCACAGCACCATTTCCTCACCAGTTTGAGAGAATGAGATACAAAGCCCTTTATTGAAGACCTCACCAGCAACAGCAATGCCACAGTACTTATATACTATTTAAATACTACCATATTTTGTGATTCTGTGCTTCAGAGTGTGATGCCAAATCCACACAGACAGAATGGGGAGACCAGCAACAGTTTTGCCCTTTCAAATCAACAATCCTGACTTGTTTGCCCATAGGGGAGCTTAGGACTAGGTGTTCTTTCAGGCCCTTCTGAACCCAAACCATTCTGTGGTTCTCTAATTCTATGACTTTATTTTCAAGGGGTGCTTTGAGGAAAATGAAACTCTAAGTACCCTGTCAGCCACAAAGCAAGCCAGCTTCTACTGGCCTGCAGTGTCCCAGCAAATGTCCCTTCTGCAGCCACAGCTGCCACCCAGGGAACCCTGTCCTGGCTCTGTACTGGTGATAAGCACTGCTGTTCAAACATAGCTGAACAGCAAGATCAGTGGTGTTTGTTTTTTCTCTGCAGTTCTAGAAATCTGTATTAATTGGTATCACCAAAGCTGTGCAAGCTGGTCTAAAGAAAATAAACTCAGTGCATCTGGCCCACACTTTTTTCCCCTCTGTAGAACATTAAATATGGGTTTTCC